ATCCATTTTGTTGGCATATAGTTTTTCGTAGTATTCTCCTGTAATCTGCTGTGTTTCTGTTGTTATTTCTCCTCTTTCATTTCTGATTTTGTTTATTTGAGCTTTCTCTCTTTTTTCTTTGTAAGTCTGGCTAGGGGTTTGTCAATTTTATTTATCTTCTCAAAGAACCAGCTCTTTGCTACATTGGTCCTTTCTACTGACTTTTTTGCTTCAATAGCATTTATTTCTGCTCTGATTTTTATTATTTCTCTCCTTCTGCTGGCTTTGGGCTTTGTTCTTCTTTTTCTAATTCAGTTAGGTGTAATTTGAGATTGCGTATTTGGGATTTTTCTTGTTTGTTAAGATGTGCCTGTATTGCAATGAATTTCCCTCTGAATACAGCTTTTGTTGTAGCCCATATAAGTTGGCATGGCACGTTATTATTTTCATTTGTCTCCAGATATTTTTTAATTTCTTCTCTAATTTCTATAATGATCCATTGCTTGTTCAATAGCATGTTGTTTAGTCTCCACATCTTTGTCCCTTTCTCAGCTTTTTTCTCATAATTAATTTCTAGCTTTATAGCATTATGATTGGAGAAGATGCTTGTTATTATTTCAATTTTTTCCAAATTTATAGAGGCTTGCCTTTTTTCCCAACGTATGCTCTATGCTTGAGAATGTTCCATGCACACTTGAGAAGAATGTGTATTCTGCTGTTTTTGGATGGAGTGTTCTATATATGTCTATTAAGTCCAACTGTTTTAGCTTTTCATTTAATTCCACTGTTTCATGTTGATTTTCTGTCTGGATGATCTGTCCAAAGATGTGAGTGGGATGTTGAGGTCCCCCACTATTATTGTGTTATTTTTTATATGTCCTTTTAGGTTTGTTAATAGTTGTTTTATGAAGTTTGGTGCTCCTGTGTTGGGTGCATAGATATTTATAAGCATTATTTCTTCTTGATGAAGTGTCCCTTTGATCATTATATATTGTCCCTCTTTGTCTCTCTTTACCTGCCTTATCTTGAAATCTACTTTGTCTGACATATGTATTGTGACACCTGCTTTCTTTTGTTTGCCATTAGCTTGGAGTATCATCTTCCACCTCTTCACTCTGAGCCTATATTTGTCATTGGAGCTGAGATGTGTTTCCTGGAGGCAACGATCATTGGATCTTGTTCTTTAATCCATCTTGCCACTCTGTGTCTTTTTATTGGAGAGTTCAATCCATTACATTGAGGGTGATTATTGATGTATGAGGGCTTAATGCTGTCATTCTGTCACTCATTTTCCGGTTTTCCTGCATTTCCTTTGTATTTCGTCTGGTGTATTTTGGTCTACCCATTGATTACTGCAATTTCTTATGCTGTGTTTCTTAGTTTTTTTCCTTATTTTTTGTGTCTCTGTTCTGCTTTTTAGTTTAGTGGCTACCCGGAAGTTTGTATTCAGAATCTCCTGCATAACATAGTTCACTTTCTGATGGCCTCTTATTTCCCTAGTCTAAACTGATTCAGTCCCTTTCCTCCTCCCCTCCTAAGTTATTATTCTCATATCTTATTCCAACTTGTGTTGTGAGTTTGTGGTTAAAGTGACAAGATTGTCTTTGTTTTTAGTGTTTTCCTTCCCTTTATCCTAATGCTATAGTTGAATATTTGCTGCCCCATTCTGATTCTATCTGTCTCCTTACTCTGTGTTTTGTGACCCGTTTCTCTCTTTTTATCTTTTTTCAGGTATGAGGGCCTTCTTGAGGATTTCTTGGGGGGGGGGGGGTGGTCTTGTGGCTACCAAGTCCCTTAGCTTTTGTTTGTCTGAAAGATTTAATTTCTCCCTCATATCTGAAGGATATTTTTGCTGGATAGAGTATTCTCGGCTGGAGATTTTCATCTTTTAAAGTTTTGAATATGTCATTCCATTCTCTCCTAGCTTGTAAGAGAAATCTCCTGAATGTCTGATAGGGGTTCCTTTGTAGGTTATTTTCTTCTGCCTTGCTGCCCTGAGTATTCTTTCTTTGTCATTCATTTTTGCCAGTTTTACTACTGTATGCCTTGCAGTAGGTCTTTTTACATTGACAAATCTAGGAGACATGAAAACTTCCTCCACACACATTCCTCTCTCATTCCCTAGATTTGGTAAGTTCTCTGCTATTATTTCTTTGAGCATGCTTTGTGCTCCATTCTCCTTCTCTTCACCTTCTTGGATACCTATAATTCTTATCTTGCATTTCCTCATTGAGTCAGATATTTCTTAGAGACATTCTCCATTTCTTTTTAGTCTCAGTTCTCTCTACTGCTCTGTCTGGAGCAATTCAACATGTCTATTTTCGATTATGCTGATTTGCTCCTCTATGGTGTCTGCATGAGCATTCAGGGAATCCATGTTTTGTTTTATCTCTTCCTTTGTATATTTCATCTGCAGGATTTCGGATTTATTCTTCTTTATAGTTTCAATCTCTTTTGTGAAGTAGCTCCTGAACTCCTTGAATTGTTCTCTATATTCTCTTTCACCTCATTGAGTTTTTTGATGATAGCTATTCTGAATTCATTGTCATTTAGTTTACTTATTTCTGAGTCCTCAGGACATGATTCTGTGTATTTATTGTTTTCCCTCTGGTCTGGAGTTTTGATGAATTCCCTGATACTGGAAGTATGGGTTTCCCCATTGTGATATTATTCAGTTGCAGTTACAGCCTGTCACCACTAGGTGGGGGTTGAAGCTGCATATTCTGAGCCCTCCGCCTTCAGCAGAGATGGTGCAGCATAGTGCAGGTTGGGGGGGGGGGCACTTTCTCTTGTGCACAGACCCAGGTTTCCCTATCAACTCTTGATATCTGGTCCCCTGGGGTGCTAATTTGATGAAATCACCCCATGCGAAAGCTTTCACCCTGTTAGAGGGCTTCCCTCTAGGCTGCAAGGATGCTAGGGAGTCCTGGGTGATCCTGCAGATGTGTTACCCCTCCACTACTCCTTCCCTCAGGGAGCCTCCTGTGGCAGTGATCCCAGTCTTTTAGGAAGGGAGTGAAGTTCTCTCTTACCTTGTTCCAGCTCCTCCGAGGGGTCTCCAGCCTTCCACCCTCTGTTGTTTGGCTGCCATGACTCTCCAAGGATTCCTGTGCTATTAGGATATTTCCTGTTGGACTATGGTTGCTCCTTTTTGTTTTATGTTAGAGGCGAGAGAGTGCTGGGCAAGCTCACTCTACCATGACACTGACGTCACTCCATAATAGGTCAAAGTTTAATTTAACTAAGGAAGAATAAGTTAATGGCCAGTATACACAAGGTCTGCTACTCTGGATTTAACATACTTCACAAAATTTCATGTCATGGAAATTTATTAGGACTAAAGTTAAGGTGAAAAATGAGATACTATTCAAATGTGTAAAAGTACTACTTGTTAGCTGTTATGCAATGGCATGTGTAAAATAGGAGAAGAGAGAAAAAAAATTCTGCCACATGTTTGTCCATCCAATGGAAGAACTCACCACTGTCAAAACAGAATCAGTTTACATTTAGTTGTCTAGAATTTTGCCTATAAAACTCCTTTTTATATTGCTTTTTGCTTTTGACTATATTTTCCTGCTGTATTTACCAAGGAATTTATTCACTCCCTCATAGCATACTATGTATATTTAATATTTGCTTTGGAAAAAAACAGAGACACTATCCAGTGCTGGGCTCTGGCTCTTGCCCTGAGTAGGATGTCTCCCACAGCCTCTCTGACGGGCAGTCCCAATCTGTGCTGGAACCTTGTGAGTTGGCTCTAGCATTAGATAGCTGACATTGACTTGTATTGAACTGAACACTTTTCCCTAAAATTTCTACACTTTGTCTACTGGTTTTGTGTGTTGAATAAATATAACAATTCCTAAAACAATCCCATGAATTATTTAAAGATAGCTATGTGAATTTCTCTTTTCCTCCCCATTCTCTATATGCATCTAACCATCTCCACTTGATGCAAATAATCCTTCACGGTTCTGATCCCACTCCTCTAGATTTATTCTGGAAGTGGTGACATGAACACAGCTGTCTGCTAAAATTTCATGGAGAAGACTACAAAAAAAGCAAAACAGTCTTTGAACTCAAGGTTTTGAGGATCTTCAACATTTGCCCCTCAGAGATGCTCCTCCTTACTGCTTGATTAAATCAGCAAGCCCCACCCATGCCTTGCCACCTTCAGTCCTTCAGATCATCTGATTTACTGTTTTATTAACACTTCCCATCATCTCAAATAATCTCGTGTGTTTCTTCATTTACTTCTGTGTATTCTCTCTGGTCCCCTTTGGAATGCAAACCCTGTATAGGAGGTAATCTTATGTCTCTCATTTCTGTGTATTTAGTACCAATAAGTCTTCTTGAAATACATTCAATATTAAATACACATTTACTAATTTAATGAGTCTACTAAAAATATAAGATATGATCACATTATCACAGTACAAGAGCTTATGTGTTAGGTGCTACAAAGACAACAGAAAGTGGCAGATTCTTAAAATTTCAGAGCAAGAATGAAATGTTTGAGCTGGTATTCTGAATCCAGGGCAGGTTTACATGTGGACAGCCTTAATCTGCAACAGGACAGAGGACAGACTGCTGAGGCAAAGGAAATAGGTTTGAGTTTGTTGCTTAAAAAAGGGCCAAATATTTAAGTGTAATTTTTGTGAAGAAAGCAAAAGTAAGATAATAAAGATATGCCTAACAGAGAGCTGAACAAGCGTGAGAGCTTAGCTGGGCTTCTATAACAAGAATTTTTAGTAAGCCCTCTTTCACTCATTTATTCAACATTCATTGAACATCTCCTTTATTAACTGTCATGACCAATTTCTTGTTTCTTTTTCAGAGGTTTAAATCTACATTGAAACAGTCCATCTTATCTGCTAGGCAGCCACTCAAAGGCTAAGGGTATTAGAAGACTTTATATATGTGCATAAATATGGAGCAGATGCTATATCTTTTCTTTGGAAAAGGTTCTGAAACTATGAATGATTACTAAATAACTTTGTACACTGTATTTTTTACAAGCACATAAAATTTAATGAGTTTATTTCCAAAAATACTTTAGAGACTCTAAAGTAGAAACACTTGTTATGATAAGTTAGCTTTACAGTTCTTTCTTTGAACATAAATGTATCTATTTGAAGGCACTCATAGAACAAATTTATCAGTATTCTGCTATGTGATGTATATTTACTACTTTATAAAATTTAACTGAAGGAAGACTCTCTTTCTCTCTCTCTTTCTGCCAGAGTCACATGCTTTAGGGAATTGGGGGAAAGAAAAGAAAAAAAAAGTTGTACATATTGCTCAATATGTATGCTACAAAGAAGAATTTGGAAAAGCATTTTAGTAGGAGAAATAGACAAAAACAGTGAATATAATTTGGAGTGAAGTAATGATAAGACAAGAAGGCTGAAGAGTATTTCAAAGTAGACTGAAAAAAAATAAAAAGAAAAAAGTGAAGTTCTTCTTGGTGATGGAGAGAATATGTAGATGCTAAAAGGTTAATTTCCTCTCTGAATCCAGATATTCTGATGCCATGTCTTCTTTTCATGGCACATGACTTACCAGCAGTTTAAGATCTTACAAAGTTTTCTGTTGCCAATTCCCCTGAGCTTGTTTAGCAGGTCTTTGGCTCCTCTGAAACGAATGCAAGGAGCAGTTTTACACAGTTTGCCCCTTTCCCCACTCTGTTTCCCTCCATAGCACTTATCATTATTTGATATTTACCAGTGATATAGCAAATTTGAGAAGTGGAGGCAGGATCACATGATTAAAAACTTTTGTTTGACTTTTAAGTTTTATTCCAAAGGAGTGTCCATGTTTAGCAGTTCAATTTGTTATTAGATTCGCTTGACTTTTGCAGACTAGAAATATTTTCCTAGAATTGCTCAGTCTTTTCCATTACTGACTTCTGTATACAGCAAGACACGCGGGGAATGTTGATGGCACCTTCAGTGACCACATTCCTGACTGCTCACAGCCGCTGCGGCTGGCTCCTTATCCGTCATCAGGGAGGACCAGCAGGCAGCCGAGGTGAGAGACACCTTTCTAGAGCACACATGGCATCTTGCCACTCTTGTTCTTGCCAACCTATTTCTTAATATATCCTTGACCTTTAAAAATATTGCAGATAACTGCTTCTTCTTTTACTGGTATAATAGCATCTAAAAGTTATACTCTTGAGTTCAATTTTAAGGTCTTCTTTTCACTTTTAAGGGCAGTTGATATTTTAATAGATTGCTTTTGTTTCGTTACTTTGTTTTAAATCTGCTCATCCATCTCTATCTGTTCTTGTTTCCACTTGAGTTTTTCTTCATATTTTTTCCAGGTTTTATTATGGATTTAAGATCTTCTCCTTTAACAAGTTATGGTTAAATAAATCTAGAATTGAGAATTAATATTCGTGTAGTACCAGCTTCATATACTTGATTCCATACATTTTATAAGTAGTGTGTTGTACTTAATGGATATATACTAATGATTTCATATGCTTGATTCTACAAATTTTAAAAGCATCACTCTGTACTTAATGCATTACTGCTTAATGCATTACTGCTAATCCACTCCTAACAAGCTTTTAAACTGTTTGGATCAATACAGGATTGATCTATAAGGCTTCAAATTTCAAGTTATTATATGCCTTTTGAATGCAGTTTTATATTTGAGTGTTATTTTGATAAGCATTTTAACTAAAATCCTGTAAATAGCAATATTTTCTTTTTTCTTTTTTTTTGGAATACCATAAAGAAAAATTATAGTTAGAGTAAAAAGGTTGACAATTAGGTGGTTCTTTACAAACGCGTTACCATCCTTCCAGGAAATAATTAGTGATGTTCAAGAAAAAAGGATTGAAGTAGCACAGGACACACCGGCACATCTAAAGTGTTAATAGAGGATGTCACGTCTCTCCTTCATGTGTACAGACAGGTACCTCTATGTACCAGGCACTGGTAGCAAAGCCACTTTTTTGCCTGGTATTTACTTCTCTGGGTCTAAGCCAGTTTGGCTTTCAGAGCCAGGTGCTTGCTAAGTAGATTGTACTCATCTCCTTCTTCGTAGGCACAGAATCAGTCAGCCCCTGGCCCAAAGCCTCAGCCCAAGAACTGAATTTCTAAGGTTTTCTGTCTGTTGTTCAGGCTTTGAGTAAGTTCCACTTGGAAACCACCATTGCAATTTTTCAGATCTCCTAGTGTATTGGTTTTCCAGGCTATTGTAACAAAGTATCTCAAACTGCGTAGCTTAAAACAACAGATATTTCTTCTCTTATAAATCTGGAGACAGAAGTCCAAAATCAAAGTATTGGCAGGATCATGGTTCTTCAAAACCCTCTGCAGAGGATCCTTCCTTGCCTTTTGTGGCTTCTGGTAGGCCCAGGTGTTTTTTGGTTGGTGGATGCAGGACGCCAGTCTCTGCCTCTGTCTTCAAATGGTCATGTCTTATGTGTCTATCTTCTCTTCCTAGAAGGATACCAGACATATTGCATTAGGGCCCACCTGAATGACCTCATCTGAGCTAACTACATCTGCAAAGACTCTATTTCCAAATAAGGTAACATTCACAGGTCTACGTGTTAGGAGTTCAATGTATGTTTTGGGGGGACACAGTTTAACCCATAACACCCAGAGCACCAACTGACTATTGTATCTTTAGCAGGATTTGAGCCTTTTACAATTTAAGACTAGGCTGTCTGTACTTGATCATCAGTAAGTCGATTTAGATGGTAATTTGATTTGTATCACTTTGTTATATTTATGAAGAGGGGTACATGCACTGAGTCAGAATTTATTGATCTCTGATACACAAGGTGCTGGGCTGGTTAGGGTACGCATGTCAGTTAGACACAGATCTTCTTTTAAAAGAGCTTACATTTTAGAAACAGAAAGAAAACAAGCATAAAACATTACAAATTCAACATGGAAGATAATAAGTGCTTTGAGAGACAGGGATAAAGTGCAAGGAAGGAGAGTGTCTAAGTAAGGAGACTTGCCAGCTAATGGCCACAGTTCAACAAGGGAGGGTGTTTCCTCTCCCCCATGGCATTCTGAGCTCTGTGAAGATCTCCTTCGCACTCCTCAAATTCATCAGCATCTATGGCCTAGGCATGCCCACTACTTAAAGCAGGTTTCCTCAAAGTGTGGCCTGGACCAGTGCTATTCTGTTTAGGCCCATGGTGAGATAAATACAGAAAGTGTGACTAAGCATTTTGAAAGTTTTAAAGTAACTTTGGTAATGTTATCTATAGTGAATGCAAAAATTTTTTTAAATGTGGGTTGGTATTTTGTGGGATCTTTTTCCAGTTTCTTATTCTATAACTTGTTTTCATTGTACTTTATAAAAGTATAGAGCCATGAAGTATTGAAATTTTAAAAATTAAACTAATTCTTTACCTCCAATATTTGAAATGCTCTGACGTGAGGGCTTTCACCTGGAGAAGAACCACATTTAAACGAACAGCATAATAGGGCCTCAAGCTAAATCTCTTTCTCACCCGCTCATCCCACAGACACTTAGTGAAAGAGAGTTCAGGTGACTAGTAAGAAATTTAATATTTTTTTTTTGCTGAGAAAGATTCACCCTGAGCTAACATCTGCTGCCAATCTTCTATTTTGTATGTGGGTTGCTGCCACAGCATGGGCACTAATGAATGGTGTAGGTCCATGCCTGGGAAGCGAACCTGGGCCACTGAACTAGAGCACGCCAAACTTAACCACTAGACTATGGGGCTGGGGGCCCGAAATTTAATTTTTTTCTCATATCCAGAAATCCAAATTGTCTAGGAAGCATCCCAGGGATAAAAATAATTACTTTTTTAAAGAGAGATATTTCTATCTTCATCATGGCCATATCTTACAGTCACACTGGTATATTTAAAGCAGTATGATATAGTTGAAAGAGTGCTAAACTAATTGTCAGAGGACTGATTTCCACTTTCAACTCTTCTGCTTCCTTGTGGAATGACCTTGAACACTTCTGCATCTCACTCTAAAAATTGCTTTCCATCTTTCACAGATAGTTTTTAACACTGGCAAGATGAGATTTGGTATATGAAAATGTTCCGCGGTATTTTAAGTTTTTGATACATGGAAGGAATTATTATTTTATGGCAAATATGTTATTGATTCTTCAGGCCTATGCCAATAAGAAAAATGTTCCTTAAGTTAAATCTTAGGCAAAAACAAAGACACGAAATTTTCTTGAGTCATTCCGTAAGGATTTTTTGGCTAAGAAATAATGGAGAATCTTTACAAGGTAACTATTTTCACTCTTTTTATAGCCTGCTTTAGGATAGACCTAGGCATGCTGCCCCACCACCCATCAAGGATGGACTGAAAGAACATCCAAATACCTTGACATTTCTGGATCTCTTTATCTTACTAAAACTAAAGAGAATTGCATTGTGGTTATTTTTTTTCCCCCAGAAAGGTTTTCAAAATAACTACAACACAAATGTTGGAGTCAAATTATTCAAACAATGTACTCCAGAAACTACTGAGTAAACCAAGCTCCAATGGGACACCAGAGTGCCTTGATGGTTCCTTTCAAACCAGAAGCTCTATAGTAAATGTTGACTATGGTATTTTGTTGCGTGTACGAATATGTGTTGGGGTGTGGATGTGTATACTAGTAGACAGCTGAGAAAAATTTCCTTATAATTTTCTTTTCATATTTCTCTCTAAAAATATATACAACGCTATCCTAGGTCAGCTCATGATGAAGAACTTAAACCAGCATAATTCCTGTCCCTTCATTAAACAATACCAGCTTACTTTCCCATGTTTTCCTACACTGAGATCAAGCAAAAGTAGCCTACCTTTTTCGCTCCAGGAATGACCTGCTTCTGAAAGATAAGGCTATGATGCAATCAAACTGCTTGCTTATTAAGACTAAGTCTACTCATCTAGACTCACTTCAAGATTCTCATCTCTTTGATGTGCCTGCAAAGCCAGAGCAATTGTATTATAAACTTTGCCCAATTCCAGCTGGTTCTTGAAATACCACCTTAAATATCCACCTTGAAATACACACCTTAAAATCACCTATCCCAGGTCCTAAAACATCTATAGATACACTTCCATAGTTTCTTTACTGAGAGACTCTCTTAAGACCCTATCAGTGTGGTTTTCTCCTTACTGTCACAAGTCTATTAAACTTAGTTTGCTTAACCAACAGGTTTTTCTTCTGGTCATTTGGGGAAAGGACAGTGAACAATGTGTATCAAAATAATTTAATTAATATAGAATTCTAGGTCTATGCGATAGTATTTTTCTGCAAACTATTCTCATTTTTTCTATTCTTCCCTTAAAATCAATATTATTAGAGATATCATTTAAACTGCTTTCTTCGACCTGTTAGTTTTCTCCTACATTGCCTGTAGGTTGAAAGCTTCTTTCTTAGGTAGCTCCGGTGTACATTGATTCAATCCCAGCATTACAGTTTGTGTCACCACCTCATGGTTTTGGTACCTTCCTCTTCTTAAGAAAAATGAGGGCTAAAAGGGACACACATTATATCAATACTCAGATGTGGGCACCTAGAGATATGGAAGCTGCACTCAGGCACAAGCCTCCCGTAGAAAGAGAAGTTTAAGATGAGTTATCTGGGATGCAAGTTAGGAGCAGCTGAAGATTGAAATAATAAGATGGGAAGACCTCAACCCTCGAGGACTCTATCTAGGATACGAGAAGCGTAAGCTCTGCAGCAGGTAAGACCAATTGAGGAATTAAGGGCGCCACTGAATGTTCTGTGTAGGCAGTGATTAGGTACATTTGTGGTCTTAGGTAATTCTGAGGATTCAGAGGTCAGAAGCCAGTAGTCCCAAAGAGCAATGGTTTTACAAATGTTTCAAATTCAAGTGATGTTTTTCTAAGGAGAATTTGCCTGTGAATCAAGTCTCCAAGGACAGTTTTATTATTCACAGAAGAAAATTTAAGACCAAACTAATTTCCCAACACAACAACAAAAGTTTATAGTGAAGGAGGTAGCCTTGTGTTAAATCGAAGAAAAATCCCTCAATGAGGACTAGGCTGCAGGCATTTAACAACTTAAGGGATCCATATTAATCACCTTTGCGATACTTTTCACTGCTGTGCGAGAAAAAAAGGATAGGTTATTTGTACACAGACATTACTTTTCAAGTTTTCTATTCTTTATGTCATGGACCCTAAAGTCTGAGAACACAGAAAGAACTGGTTGAATGAGACGATGTTGAGCAGGAGGCAGACTGTCTAAGGGTCCCTAATTCTACAATTATCCTCTTCAGGTCCAAGGATTTGCTAGCCAGACACTCAAAAAGACGACCATCTTTAGCTGCATGCCATTTCACCTTGTGGATCCTATGTCTGGGGAAAATGAGGAACAAAAAGCCTCACACAAAATTAATTATGAAAGTGACTAAAAGATCCGCAGATATATCTAAAGTCACTAAAATATTATAAATTCAGACTTTTTACATTTGATCTAAACAAATTTTAATATGTATTAAATATATTAATATATATTGCTTTCATTTCTCTTAGAGAAATTTAAATATGTCTGGACAATTTACCACTTGGGCTATGGTTGAGATTATTTTAGGGATTCTAGAACCAGCTTTAATAGGGAAGTCAGCCAAATTATTTATTCTAAAAAAAGTTGTTAAATTAGTTAAAAACATGGTTTAATATATCTCCAGCTAGGATAATTCATTTGAATTTTCTGTTAAAAGGGAATCCAAATTCTTGCCAAAAGGTTTATAATCATTAGCTCAACATATATAGTTTTATCAATGTTAATTGATTCATTACTTCATTCAGGATTCTTTGATGCTTTTTATAGATCAAACACAGTACTTGCTACTAAAAATACATACGCCTCAAAACTTACTCACTGACTTTATGCCTTTCTACATGTTCTAGATGCAAAATGTGGTAAGTTCACTCATGGAGGTTGTGAGGGTTAATTTTATGTGTCAACTCGTCTGGGCCATGGAGTGCCCAGACATTTGGTCGAACATTATCATGGGTGTTTCTGTCTTGAGCCTGCCGGCCCTCAAACTGAAACTACACCATCGGCTCTCCTGATTTCCAGCTTGTCAACTGCAGATCTTGGGACTTGCCAGCCTCTGTAATTGCATGAGCCAATTTCTTATAGTAAATCTATATTACATCTTATTGGTTCTGTTTCTCTGGAGAACTATAATGAAGAGGTTTACAGAAGGTATTAGGAGATTGTGGAGGAAAGGTCACATCATGAACCATAGAATAATTACAGATGGCTTTTCAATCAATTGAAGCCTAATCTGAACCTTAATTTAAACATTTTTAGAATACATGTAAATTAGTCTTCAACAAAACAAAGTCCATTTTAGTATCTTCAAAGATTTTTAGCATCAGAAAATTCTTTCAAATAACATTTTATGAAAAACTACATTGAATGAAACAGATACAACTGTAGCTGCTCTCGTTGATGTAGCAGTGCC